CCTGTGTTGTTCTGTCTTCACATCTTCAGGAAAAATCAATATAGAAATGAGACAAACATAATAAGATGTATCGTGGGATATTCTGCCTGCCTTTGTTTAACCCAATGTACTTTTACATTTTCCTGTAGATTGATAATGTCATTAAAATCCTTCTCAGATGCCACGACACAAGAGAAAATATTTGCTGCTTTATGGTGTGTACTTTCTCCTTTGTCTAAATAGTATTTATTTTTGCATCCTTTGATGGTACAGAACGATTTTGAAGTTTGTTTTCTTAGTGTAAAAATTATGGAAGGCAAGGGGTTAATCCCTCTGATAGTTAATTATTATGAAAATAGCATTTACTGACATTTTAGTGATGACTTGGTAAGTTCTTTGATCTTGTGATTTAAATTGTATATTTGTGTTTTTCCACCAGTATTTACTTTTAGTAATAGTATGAACAGTGTAGTAAGATTCTTGAGATATCCTTCCTCACATAGGTGAGGAAAATCCAGTGTGTTAATTAGGCTATAAAAGGTTAGATGGCTATTTTTCTGTAGTAGTGATAGTCATGTACACAAGGTAATAAATATTTAACTTTCACTTCCGTTTTTGTTCATAGCATGCGTTGCCAGTCCATTTTGAACATGGCGATGTTTCGTTGTAAAAAAGACATAGCAATAAAGTATTCTCGTACTCTTAATGAACACTTCAAGAGTTATCTCAAAGTTGCCCAGGTACCTTCTCCATGCATTGCAAGGTAATTATAATTTAAATAATTTCCCAAATCGAGTCACTTCTTTATTTCCTCTTGCTTTTGCAACCATTTGTATATATACGTAGCTTTGGCTTTTAAAAAATAGTATGCTTCATCTGTGTGCCGATTTGCTCCTTAAATCATTAGCATATTTCTGTCTTTTTGAGAACTAGTTATAAATCAAGGCTTTTGCTGATTGGACAGCATAAAAAGGTAATTGCAAAGGAGCTGAAATTTTAGAGCTTCGAAGATCTTTAGATATGCCTAAGAACACAAAACAACTAGTGGAGCCAACAGAACCAGAGTCAAAGTCCTTTCTCCTCCTTTATGGCATGTCTTCTTGGTGTTTTAGTAAACAAGAACTTTCCAGAACCTTATACCCACTATCTTCTCTGGGATCCACTCTAGTGACAGTAAGAATGAAAACAATTATTTCCACCAAAATTCTTTTTAACTTTATGAACTGAAATTGTTCACCTGTGCTATAAGATGTTGAAAAACAGAA